CATGGGGTTGTTGTGACCCAAGTGCAGGACCCGGCACGTGGGTGCCCTCACAGTCTTGTGGCATCTGTGTTAACCTCAGGGCTGTACAGCATTTGAGGATTGGCTTATAATCAGGTGTTGGCTTCACCAAAGGCTTGGATTTAAAATCTTGCCTTAATTGATCCAGATTAAACAAAAATGATGCTTATGCCAGTTCTGAGGGGAAAAAAAGAAAGACTGTGAGAGGGGAAAGAAGACTGGGGGTCACTCTTAATTTCAACGCATTTTCAGCTTGTTCTCAGCAAGTGCATTACTTAATCATTTGCCAATTAATTTTCCCATCATTTTATTAAAATCTTCTGTGTGCCTCTGAAGGGCTCTAGAGGGAGCTAAAAGCCTTTGAGAGGGAAGCAACGCGCTGCATGAATTTGCCCGAACCACAGTATGCTGTTAAAACGAGGTGTAAAGCACATTCAGCACATACTGGGAACAGAATAAAGGCATTTTTTACTCTCTGGAGAAACACTGTAAATCTTAGTTTCTATATTTAATCCACTTAATATTTGGTTACAAGAATTCATATGATCATCAGTCACACAAAAGAAAAATCTGTCTCCTTTTCAGACTTATTTCCCAAAACACATATGTTTCATAAATGGCACGAGGTACATGGCCAAGGAAAGGAAATCAGTGTTATGGTTATATTGGCTGAAAGGCTCAGAGCAGGATATTACCTTTCAAAATTTTTAATCCCCGTCGCACGGCCGCAGGGAACACCGCACTCTTAATTTATCTTGGTCGCTTCGAGTAGCTTTTGGGCCAAGGAGATTGTGATAGTGCCCCAGGGAACTTGTTTAAAAAATCCTGTTTTGAACGTGAAGCTGCAAATACGGGTTCAGTGTCTTGGTGGGAATACATCCATTATCTCTGTGAAAGACAGCAAGCTGTGGCTTTGCACGAAGCGATGTTCTCGCATGTGCAGGCCCTGTCCTTGTAAGCTAATGCTCACCCATGAGAGCTGTAGTGGGAAGCAGTTCTCCCCACGGGCACGTGCCATTACCCTGCAGACCTCTGGGCTGTGGGTTTGAAGCCCTCATCGGTGTTACGGCTGTCGCTGCTGCAGTGGTTGCGTTTCTCCTTGGTGTGCTGAGCCAAGATGTTTGCCCATGTCAGGAGGCGAAGGGCTTTAGCGGATCAGGCTAAACTCCCCTGTCTCACTTACACAGGTAACAGTGGGTTTTCATCCTCGTTCTCGATTCTCATCTTTTCCCAAGGTCAATTTGCTATACAGAATATAAAGGTGGACGTGCGTGGGTGGGAAAGGAGGGATGTTGGTACTGGGGATGGAGAATCGGGGTAGGGTGGGGATAGGCTGTGAAAATGAAGATAGAGTTTGATGACCATCATTGGACCATGACAATGTGTCTGAAATTATCTGAAGGGTAGATTTTTGTCTGTCTTTCTTTTCCCCTCCCCTGAAAACTCATTGCAAAAAGATACAGAAAGCAAGACCAGCAGCAGACCAGAGTTATGGTATCCCTTTAACCAGGCGACAAAAGCTGGATTTGTCTCAGTTCAGCCCCTCGTTGCTGGTCCCTATGGGAGTTCCTTAATGAACTCCAGTGAGTCGTTTCCCTCCTTTCTTGACTGAATGTAACAAATTGCATCAAGACTCAGAACGCACAGGTGAGGCACTGAGAGGAGATGAAAGTAAAGTTGGCCTCTCTCCCTGGCTTGCCTTTTCTGAAGTCCACATGCAGGAACTGTCTTCTCTCTCTGGTGTGTTGCTTTTGTCCTTATGCAGCTTTTAATCCCTATGTAGAAGAACCAAAGTTTGCTTGGGAACCTTTGTGGGTTTTAGAACTACTAATTGGGTTTGGGAGTTAATAATTCAGCTATAAATATACTTGTCATGTTAAAGCTTGACATGGTATAATATCTTGGCTCTGGGATACTTTTCTTCTTTCCAAAGATTATTTATTACGTAGAATTCCCACAGGCACAAGTATTAGAGAGCTCTTCTGACTCCCTTCAGGTGCGAGTTACCTCCCTACTTTTGTTTCCAGCAGGTCTAAGTCTGTCTGTGCTAGTTTTGGTTCAAGACCTTTAGCAATTAGTTACCTTGCCTGATCCTAGGAGAGCCCCCAGTGCGCAGCCCGTTGGCCTGGCTTGGGAGACCGCAGGATTGTTTCTCTCCTTACTGCCTGCAGGTGGTTGCATTTCCCATTTCTTTCCCATTCTGACTGACAACCCTCTCGGAAGTCATCCATTTTCTTCATTTCTTGGAACTACCCAAAGCTTCAAAATTCACTGGTTGTTTTGACTGCCTCTGCTTTTAAGGCCTGAAAGCCCTCTAAAGAGGGCTGGTTTTCCAGAAAGTTTCCTGGAACTCAAAAGCTGCTTCACTACATCCAGCCAAAAAGTGGAAGCAGTTCAGGTCCGCTGCTGAAAATGTCAACATGTGTTTGGCACAGTGTGCACACACATGTGAGTGAGGCCATCAACTTCATTACTGTAGGTCAGCTCTCCAGGTACAACTGTATCCAGATGACTCTTTAACTTTCTACTCTTGTTCTTTAATTGCAAACTTTAAGACAAAAGCAATGCCAATATGATGGTAAAATTTGTATCTTTGGCAGGTTTCCCTCTACTGTCCAGCAAGAAACCTGGGCTGCACTCGAAGGACAGCTCAGCCAGCTGTCAAAGTGGTCCTGGAGATGATCATTCCCAAACACAGGTACGAGGGAGAATTGTGCAGAGCAAAACAAGCGTAACTCCTGTTGGGGCACGTCTGCTTTTGGCAGGCTGTCTGAGCATCCTCTGCTCTCTCAGATAGTTTTGATTCTCACAATAAGCAGCAAAAGTTGGAGTTATGCCTGTGCTATACATAGGGAAGAGACTTGGATGCTCTGATTGATATAACCATTCCCAAATCATATGGCTAAGCGGCATTTGCTTTCTGTGGGACTCAGACCTCGATCGCACTGAGATTTAGGTGCTAACATGTTGCATCAGCCAACACGTAGGCACCACCACCCTGCCCTTCCCTCACAGCATGGGGTTTAGCTGCCACTGGGATTTCCTCTATGCCATGGTTTCTGCCCAAAGGAGAGGACACCCCCCAGATCTCTGTCCCCTGGTGCTCCCGAGCTGGCTGTTGGTCTGCCTGCGTGGTTGTAGGGCTGGATGGAAACATGTGGCATGTTGGGCAAGGCCAGGTACCAGCAGCGGTGGGGTGAGAGAGTATCACATCCAAGTGGCTTAAATTCCACTTGATTGCTGTGCATCAGTGGGCAAAAGGCAAGTGCCAGCACTGGCCTTGGAGAGCAAATCTGGGAGCCAAGGTAAGGGCTTGCATAGTGCTGGCCATAGGAAACCTGGCATAGGAGACTGGGGGGTTTCCGGCCATTACATGCCTTAGACATAGGTATGACCATGTCTAATGTTTACCCCTTGCATCCAGTGGGCAGAAGACTTCTCTTCTTAATATGCAGCAGGCCCTTGGCTCCACACCTCCCACAGTTCAGGAGCATCTTCAGCTTCCTTTGGGACCTAGCATTTCCATTGTATTTTCTGCCTTTTTTTTTTTGCCTTTTTTTGTTTTGTTTTGTTTTAAGGCTGAGGAAGGGCGGGCGTGCCGTAAGTGCAGCACTGCAGCAGGAGTTGTGACTGACCATCCTGAGCAAAGGGCAGCATGTTCCCTGGACTCGGAGCCGGGTGGAGTGGGGACCAGCCCGCGTCTTCCGTGTCCTAGCCAGTTGTCCTCACCCTTGGGTTAAACATGAGTAAAATTGCTTGACCTCAGGTCTGCGATAGAAAAAGAATAGTCTTCCATGTCCACGGTGGTAGTTGAAATCCGGTCCAGGACAATAGGGCCAGGAAGGGAACATCCCAGGGGAGCAGAGCTGCACAGCGCTGCCTGGCCGTGCTGCTCTCGAGGAGAGGTGACTCCATGCTGCAGCTCCCACTCCATAAGCAGCGCATAGTGGCCTTTTTCTTCCTCTAAAGAGAGAAGATTAAGAGGGTATTTATTTGTTTATTGGTGTTTCTCATGTTTTTTTTGCCTGACATCCTGGCTGATACTAATTTTAGTCATCAAACACAACTGTGAAACAGGGAATAATCATTATTGCCTTACTTCTGATGCTTCTGGGAAACGAGAAGTCAGACAGATTAATGGCTTCAGCCCTGTGAATTTGGGAATCTGGCACATAACTGGAAACAGGAATTGAATCTTCTCACCATCCATTATCACATAGCATTGAGGATAAAATGCCTCCCTTTTAAAAGGAAAAAAACCCTCTAATTTTGGTCTGCTGGCTAGATAATGTGGACGTTTTTCCTTGGTACTATCTCCAGCAGAAGAGTTTGGTGGCTATAGTAATGAATTTAAATGTTCACCAAAGCAAAAAGAATCATGAGAGAGAACTAATTGAATTTTTTAAAACTACTGTCTTGCATTTTACAAGCTTTTCTGGGTAAGCTAATTCATTCCTACCTGTGCTATGTAAGCGTGCAATATTACAAAAGTAGTTGGAGAGGATGGGTTGTGGTCCCTTGTGCTTGCTGGAAACTCTACAAAGTTGATGCAACTGGAATGCATGTGGGAGAATAGAGCAGGCCTGCTTTTGTTTATTTTCCTGTAGATAGGACTGCTTCTTTCTAAGGAAAATATTAAAGGTAATTCATAATGATATGACAGGTTCTTAGCATGAATAACATTATTTTTAGACTACTAAAATTTCCAGCAGTATTAGACCTCTGCTCCTAGAGAAATACTAGCCCTTTGGGGAGAAAAACTTTTCTTATTGTATTATCATCTACATATATATGTGTTTATATATGAGTATGTAAAGTGAATATTTTGTTTATTAGTATTATGTTAAGATTGAAATTGCTTAAAATATTGTATGAAATAAAAGATACATTAAACAATATTTTTAACCACTAAAATAATCTTTTTTTCATGCACTTCACAGTTGGCTTCTTACAAGAAACCACTAGAAGTTACAAGAGGACATTTCAAACCCTACAGCCCAGTATTTCAAAGAAAAGAAAAAGCCAGAGAGATGTCTGAAGACATCCGCCTCTATGTGCCCCACTGTCCTTTTCAGAGCAGCACTAGAGGTACTCCACGGAACCCTCCTGGCAATGGGACGCTGGCTGCTGATTTTTCTGAGCCTGAAGATATAGCTGGTGACATCGGGGCATACGCAGCCCAGGGCTGGAAGGAAAAAACCCCGAAATATATCTCTGAACCAGATTTTAACAGGAAGACCAAAGTGCTGTCATCTCTGGATTTGAAAGAGAAAGATGGCAAAAATACAAGGCACCCAGAAGAAAAGCTTGAGCAAGAATTAGAGGCAAAAAGGAGGCTGGTACTTTGTACTCAACAGCGACCCTTGTCGTATGATTCAAAGAGGATGGACTTAGGTGGAACCAGTCCAGAGTATCAAAACAAAGGAGCACTGGGGACTTCAGAGGAGAAGGATGCTGACTGGAGAAAAGATGCGTTCAAACTATCTGGTTGTTCTGTGCCTCTCTCATTTGCAGACAGTGCTCCACCAGCTTTGCCAATTGACGCAAAAGATGCTCTGAGGAGTGCAGATGCAGTTGCCAGGGAGCATGCAGCTGGCCAGCCAAAATCACCACTGAGGCTCATAGCCAATGCGATCAAAAGGTCCATTTTGGAGCCTCTAACCTCGTCTCCGGAAGGACTAAAGCAGGATTCAGACAGCAAAGTCAAAGCCTCTTCAGAACAAGCTTTCTTCAGCTTCCCCAGTACTCCTAGCTATTCCCTAAGCCAAAGGAACAGTAACAATAATAGAGCAAATAACACTCAGCCGCAGGAGCTTAAAGTAGGGGAGTGGGCAGAAGGATATTTAGGAAACGGGAGCCCTCTCTCAAATCCATCTGATTTTTCTGTCGTCTCTGAAGAGAGATCTCCAAGGGATTACAGCGAGGAGGTAACCTTCCCAGTCTACAGTCCTCACACTAGGCCTTCCAAGATGACCAGTATACCTCAAAAATCATATTGCACCAGGATGGAGGATGTCCCAGGACTCCTGGAAAAGTTTACCTTTAAAGAGACTCCTCCAGGGGCTCCTGTGAATGACATATTTATCTGTAATGAAAAGTACCTCCTGCTTTCATCTCCAGAGCCCAAGAACACCTCCAAGGACAAGCTGGATGACTCTGCACAGAAGGGTAGTCTTGGGTTGCTCTTTGATAGACTGAGAAGTAAAGTTCATGACAGAGAAGGGAATTCCTTCATGTCATCTCTGCGTTTCATGAGGGACTGTTCTCCAGAAGACAGGCTATGTTATCCTTCCACAGGTGAGAGCATGAGTGGAATTATTTATTTCTGGTAATAGCACTTAACATTTAAAAGAGCTGCATGTGATCATGCAAACACATATCTGTTGTATGCTATGTTTAATTTATAGTTACTTTCTACATAGGAAGACTTAATAAATATATTTTTTTGGTTAAGGTTTAGGAGTTGCTTCTGGTTTAAAGGAGCAGAGTGGATTTGCAAGCAGAGTGCAGCATGCTGGACCCAAGTTTGATCTGCTGCTCGCTGCTGTTCAAATGTGTTTGGGTCAGGAAAATGTACTCGCCGAGGTGGAAGGAACGGTGAGGCAGAGTGGGATGCTGTGCAGAGCAGCTGCTGCTGTGACACCGAGTGTGTTGTGGAAGGGGGAGTACAGCAGGCAAGCAGAAGGATGAGCACTGAAAACTCCAGTGCAGTGTAGACTACATTTGCTACCCTTTCCGTGAGGAGCTCAGAGACTGCAGCAATATGGTTGCACTAGCAAGAAGCTTTGCTTTGTGTATGTGCTTTCTCAGCAGATGTCTCTTCAGCTCTGTCTGCTGTCGTAGTGACTGAACTGTAGACATATTTTTGGGAGCTTTGCAGTGTCATTAATATCCCCTTGTTCTTTTATTTGAGAGGAGGTAGCACCTTACTGACCTACTCTGACCTATTTGTGAGTCTATTTGGGCAGTGATTAAAAGGCATCAATTTTCATGTTTGCTTGCAAGAACAAGGTTAGTATTAAAATTGCAGATGAGTCTAAGAAATATTGATGTCAGACAAAGAACAATCTGAGCAATCCAAGCATAGGCTCAGAAAGAATTAAGTGCAGCACAGTTTCAGGTATGAAATAGGAGGTATGAGAGCTGCACCCACCTGTCTTTCTCCATGACCCATCTTTCCACTGCAGAAAGCCACTGTTATTTAACTGAATAACCTATTGAATTTTACTGACATACCTGTTTGTTTCTTACTTTATTAAATTGCAACCCAAACTGTAACCCTGAAATTGCTGCTGTACAGCAGCATTAAAATAACAATCTGTATGTAAAATGTGAAGTTATCGAAATGTTCCCAGTGAGCTGCCAGATCCTTTTTGCATCCTTTCTGCTTCAGAACTACTGCATACTGTGAGGAAGATATACAGTATACAAGATACTTGATCTGAAGCTCATTAAAATCGATCGAATAACTCCCGCTCTCACGCCTGAATTTTTGGATTGGATTCTTGGAGCATCCTTTATCTAACAATTCACCAAACCAGGCATCCCCATGGAGCCAGAGGATGCTAAGCACTGCACTGAAGCCACAGACAATTGCTAGTGTTGGCACTTGTCACGCTGTGGTCTTAAATGGGAGGCTTTTTCTGAGTCTGTACGTAGTCATCACCCATCAACTAAGACAATCTGACTTGCTCTTAACTAAATGTATTACAATAATTGGTATGTTATGTTCCTACTAAAATGGGAAAAGTTCTTGTTAGGTTTGAATAATGCTATACTTTACTTATGTTTCAAATATTTTGGAAAAACACGCTGGTTTAATATGTGTTGCATTCCTCTGCTGCACAAGCCAAAAGAGGAATTATTAAATTATTATAATTACTGAATATAGGCATTGCAAAGTTAGTTCAAAAGAAAAAAAAATGCAGGTTTGGTCTAGCCATTTGCCCAGTAATCTGTCATCTTCAACATTTCAACATTGCAGCTCTCTGAACTTTTTCAAACATTCGTATTTGAGTAAATCAAACTGGTAAAGAGCCAAGTCCTGCTTGGCTCTCGAAAACAGCATTTCTCTCTCATATTGGCACTTGTCTGAGGCCCAGGCTTGACAAACTTCGGTCATGAACTGATGACGAGCTTTAGCCCACAGTACATGTCATTATTTTTCTCTCTTGAAATTTACCATGAATCTCAGAAAATGTCTTTTCTTTAAAGAAAAAAACCCCAAACCTCCCAGCACCTTTCAGGTGCAATTTAAGGAGGGTCTTTCTCATACTCTTCTTGGCTCTTTGCAGTAGGGCTTTTCTGTCCTGTTTGAGGCCAGACAGACTTGTTCTGTGCAAGTACGGTTGGTCTTACATTACCCTTGTGTTTTCTCCCTCAGCGAGCTGTTGGCTTGTAGAGCCAAAGAATGAGCTGGGTGCTGAAAGTCCACAGGCTTGAGATGAGACTGGGCAAGCTCATTGAAGAGAAGTCCACTGAGGATTAACCAAATGCTTAGAAACCAATTCCAATTTAGAAAGCTCCTGAACTGAAAAATGCTTGCAGGCTGGGCAAGTGTTAAGGGGAGGAATCACACATGACTGCTGCCCGATGCCTATAGTGTTCCTTTAGACATCTACTGCTGGAGACAGACTGGAAGGACCTTCAGTCTCACCCTACACATGTACTTCTATGTTATGTTGTTCACCTTCCCCTACACCTTATCTTAGTTACTTCATCGGCAGATACACGTCCAGATGTCTTTCCTATGCTGACGACTTCTGCATTTCAGACCCAGGTGTCTGTCCAAACTAAAACTATATTCTGTCCTTCTGTCATCTCCTGCCAAGTGTTCGGCCACCAGCTGAAGCTCAGCATGAGGAAGCAGAGATCTTAATTACTCAGCAGCAGATTGCCTGTCACTCAAGCTTAGCCCTGCAGTTATACCTTCCATATGGGTCATTCCAGCTTCTGATATCCAGACCTGGTCTAAAGGCTTTCTGGCTAACACTTTCTGTTTCATAAGAAGTATTCCTCAGAGCCACTTGGAAATTTTGGGCTGCGCAGAGATCCGGCTGCACAGACTACCTGTGTGGGACCTAGACAAATCTTACTGAAGTAACGGGGGTTCATGCACTGCTTGCGTTGAGAGATTGGTTTAAAAAAAAATAAAATCCTATCTAAGTTTGCCTGTAGAATATACAAATGCCCCCAGATAGCCACACTGGAGTTTCCAGGTGCAATTCCAGATTTTTGATTTACTGCACAAATATCTTTGAGGCTTTTGTCCTTTGATTCCTCCTTTGTGTTCCAACCTGCCATTAAAAAAAAACCCCAAAAATAGATCAATAAAATTGATCAATCAAGTGGTTAACTAGTCTCTACTAAATGTACTTGCCCTTTTGAAACTCAAAAAAATGTCAAAGTGCCATGTTGGTTATAGATACTAAAAATCATTAACACCACAGAAAAACAACAGTAAAAGGAGAGCTAAGCCAGGTTGTATGAGAGCGTTGCAGTCAGCAGTGGTTGTAATGAGAAGCAGTACTGGATTCAGGGTTTAGGTTCCTTTTGACTTACAGATAGACCTTCTGAGGACCAGTCCACGAAGGTGGTATTGGCAGATGTTTGTGTCTCTGGGTTTGCTTCTTGATAGCGATGGAGAGGTGGGAGGAATATTTCTGTCCCTGATAGAGTAGGGATCGTGTGAAAACATTCCTAGAATCATCCCTTAGATGAGATGTGTTGTTATAACTCACTTTGTGACGGTGTTGTTTACATGGCTCTCTTCATTAAGCAGGACAACCAATTCAGATGATAAGAAAAATTAGATGTGTTATGACGTCACTTTGCTGGTTTTGTGCACTTTTAGGTTGAAAAGGGATTCCTTGCAAATATTTCAGGTTCATACATGGTTCCCATTACTGTATCTTTGTACCACTGAAAGTCTGTGTGTTTGCAATGTTCTTGTCAGCTGGGACACTGTTATCTCAGTGATTTCATATTTTTGAAGGGGAACTGAGGCACTACAAATTAAATTACATGCCTAAGACCACACGAGAAATCTGTGGAGAAGCAGAGATGTGAAGCCAAATAGCCAAGTCCACTCTTGATTTCTACTGGCCTTTCTTTTCATCTCCTACCGCAGGCCAATTCCCATCTGGTTTGGGACACCAGTGCCCCAAGAGATATGTGTAGCTTTGCCTCTCTCTTTTGTAAAACACTGAAGTACTTAAAGTGGTCATGATTAATTCCAATGACTTTAAAAAAATATACAGTCTTGCACACTTACAGAGGAAGCCAACAGGTTAATGTAACATTATGTTATAAAAACAGTTCCTGCTCCAAGACTTTCTGTGTATTTGGACTACAGTCATTACTACGACACAAAAACACCCCAGGAAAGGGAGGTGAGCTGTGACATGCAGAGTGCCAGCAGTGGTGGTTTTCCCTATAAATCTCCAGGACAATCAGCAGTGCTCCCACGTTTAACAGACGGTATCACCTTCTTAACCTCTTCATGTGACACCTCCCTCTCTGTTCAGAGGACCTCAAGTTTCCTTAGATTTATATGTTAAGGGAGGGGTTCTCAAAAGCACTGGGCTTTGATCCAGTTGATCCCTCTGAATACAGTGAGGGTTTTACTGCTGATGGCATTCAATGGCAGTGCGCTTAGGCCAAAGCGAAGTATCTTTGAGACCCACCCTTGGATTACCAAGCTGTAAGGAACTGGCCACAGGAAGGAATTTTAATTTTATGGATGTAATTTTTCTTATCTCTTATGACACACGCATATGAGGATACCAAGTCCCAATATCAAGAATTGGAGGTTTCCTCCAACTTTGTACTTTGAAGCATATTCTGTGACACTGTCAGGTTCAATAACAATTAATAACAATAATAATTAATAGTTTCCTGTGATTTGACAGCTGTAAATCAGGTATGCTGGAAGGGTCTCTTAACCAAACTCCTAGTAGCTACTGTGAGGTAGAAATCAAGAATAGATTAATAAAGATTTCAGAAATATTTGTTCCTTTCCCCTTTATAATTAAGAACTAAAACTATGGCTGACCATTCCTAGTGATCCAAAGTCATGTTAGCTGGGGAGGAAAAGCTCTAGTATAACATATGTTAATTTTGAAGTTAGGGAGATGCTAGAGTACTTAAGAAATAAGTAATCAGTAACTCCCATTTTGAAGGAATGAGATGGCTGGAAAGAGAAAGCCCAAGTCTAGAAGAGTTGAGTTAATATTTGGAAAAAAATATATGTTTTTGAGATCTTTTCCATAGCTATTGAGCTTGATGTATTAGGAGTAGACAAATTGTTATTATTTAACTTTACTATTGCAGTTCTAAGTTTCAGGTTTAAATGACCCAGTAAGTGTAAAAGTCCCCAAGTTGAACATTTTTATGTGTGAACTCCTCGTCCAAATCCTCACAGTCGGCAGCTAAGTTCTGTCTGTCCCACCCCTTTAGAGATAGGAAAGATTAATGCTTAGTCACCTATAGTAGAACATATAGATGATACAGAGGAGTGGGGTTTTTGTTGTGGGTTTTTGGGTTTTTTTTTTCCAAAAATAGAATAAACTTGTGGTATTTTTCTCTAGCTCTGCATAAAGCAAGTTCATTCAGTGAGGTAATTTCTTGCTATGCTTGTTATAGTTGTCTTGAAGTTGAAATTTGCATCTGGGGTACACTTTAGAGCATATTTCTGGTCTCTCCCACAAGGAAATAGCCAAAGAAAAATAGCTGAGCAGAGCACTGAGTGGCTGCCCTTTTAATGTTGAAAGAAATGCACTATCCCACTGTTTCTGTACTTCTAAAATGTTGCAGGACCACACATCTAGGAGCCAAAAACTTGTATTCTCATCCCAATTCTGTCACTCTTTGCTGTGTGTTTTGGGGCACCTCCTTGGAGCAGCCCATTATCCACACTGTATTAACAGAGGACATCAGTGCTGTGAAATTGTATATGCAATAAACGTGACAGAGACCATAACTGTCAATGCGCACAGGTAGATCCATCAGATGCCTCATCACTGAGTGGTTTCACGTGGTCCTTCTTCCTGTAGGCTTCTTGGATGGAGAGAATGAAGGACATTGCTGATCGCAGTCAGGTGGCTGTTGTCTCACAGAGCTGTGGGTACCACATCCCTTGAAAGCTGAGCTGTTTCAGAGCAATCTAAATGGCTTTTCTCTGCAGAGAAAGGTGCAAATACCTGGCTCTCCATAGCAGATATGCATTGGGAGGACTGTGGATGTTACGAATCTGTTCTGTGCACAGACATCAGCTTCCTTGTCCTCATGAGATGGCCCATGGAAGTCCTTGGGGAAGTCATTGAGCCTCTTTCTGTCCCAGAAAGGCAAACAGCTCCTGAGTCACGCTTCTGAGGAGGCAGGTGCCCTTGTGTTACAGCAGGCTGCTTTTCCTCTAGACCTTGTAACACTTTTTAAATTATTGATATCACTCAAAAAAGGAGGACATGGGGAAGCAGTCACTTATTCCCACAGCTGAGAGAAGAAAGGGAGCATGTAATTGCTTGTGTTTCCAGCCCTGCCAGGCTGTAAGGTTTGCCGCTTGCGTATTACGGAATTTGATTTCAGCAGCAGCCTGACTGCAGGGTAGTTACTGCAAACTTGGTTGCACAGTGAAAAGCAAGGTAGGCGAGTTTAGTCCTCAAAAGAAATAGTAACTGTGATACACCCATGCCTTCCTCCATCTCGTGCACTGGGCAGGGCTTTACAGCTGACTGTCCCTGCCAGGGGCAGATATGGGGCACAGTTGGATTTGCACTCTTGTCCGCAGGGCGTGGGGCAGTGCATGGCGCCGGTGTCCCCCCAGCAATCGTGAGCCATCAGCGAGTGCCCAGCAGGCCAGCAAGCAGGAGCTGTGTCCCTCCTCCAAGTGCCATGAGGCGGGGAGGTGTGGGGTGGCAGCCTGGGCAATTCTGAGCAGGGGAATCACCCTGGCATTTCTGCCAGGGCTATTGCACCTCCTGCTGCCCAAGGGCTTTGTCCTGCAAAAAGGAGGGCAGGACCCAGGTCTGCTCCACTGGACCCTCTGAGCTTGCAGTTTCATTGACACAAGGCCCGGGTGCTTCTAAAATTGAGATTTCTGAGAAAAATCAAAATTTCTGCCTCAAATTACTTGGATTTGCTTTCATTGCTTTACCGCCTGGGATGAACGTGTTTCATGGATCCTGATTTTCAATTAGGTTTTGAGACTGAAGTCCTACTTAAGGACTGGGATCCAGGACAGAGCAAAGAAGAAACATTTGCACTGGGAGAATGGGAAGTGATTTTAATGTGAATACAACTTGCACATAGAAAGCCAACTGTTACCTCGCAGATACAAAGAAAAATGGCACTGTTAGCTTTAAATAATGTGCATTTCCAAGATGTTGCCCAGCTGTTAATCATTAACCCTGTAGCAGGTTGAAGCATAGAGACAGATGTTTCAAAAGCAGTTTTATTTTCTGAAATAAAGAGAATGAAGCAATGAATTAGACAAATTAAGAAGAAATTCAAATATTTACACCCAGTTGAAACAAGATGCTGGAAAAACAGGCATGATAAAATTGCTGCAATTAAATGTAATTTAATTTATAATTCTGAAAGCATGCTTCTTCCAAAGGCAGCCTTTGAGTTTTCCTTATGGAGTGCATTGTTGTGATGTATGGATTTTCCTGACTTATTATGGCATTTTAATCAACAGTTCAATGATGTGACAATATTCCTAAAGCAGAAAAATAAGTGACGTTTGTTTAGACATAATTAATGAAATATTTATGTTGCATGAGGCTGTGTGATAAAGCCTTGTTCTCTTAGTCCATTTGCTTCTGATTACATTTGTGATTTTTTTATATGACCAGACATTCTGACGCCAACTATTTTACACTGAGCAGATGTCATGTAGTAAAAATGGGTGCCAGATGCTACAAGCCACATAAGGGTAATTTGTTTAAGAGCTGGCTCAGACTTTTTGCATTCAATTACACTGTATAGTGAGTCTTATACAATCATTTGGGTAATATGGCTAACTTCAGATATACATTTTAATGACTGTTGAGTGTGTTCAGAACAGCATGCTACATGCAGGGTGCTCAAGGAATTAATTTATTTGTATGCAATACCTGAGAAAAATCAAATGTACCCAGACAGAGTTTTTGACAGAGATCAAAAATTTAATTAATGCCGTCAGCCAAATTTCCAAATTGCTCTAGGTGCTGCTGATTAGAACTCAGGGCAGGTGTAAAGCGTCTGTGTAAGTTAAAAACCAGTATTTTTTGCTTCACTGACTATTTTGTTCCTGCATTTTAGGATGTGAACACCTACCTGTCAGAAAACAAGCTACTGAGTATTCTACTTCTTCCTCTGATGATGAATTTGAATCCAAGCCTTCATTAACACACAAGGTAACCTTGACTTGGAAACAGGCAGATATTTCCTCAGTTGGACTGTATTCATCATCATTAGATTTTGATCTAAAACACACCGCAATTTCTCAAAGTGGGGATGGAAACGCTTTATCAGTGGAGATTACGTGTCATGGAGAGAAAAATACATTCAAACTCTTTAAGACAGATGAAAATCAAAATTTCTGTTTCCTCTTTGGATCTTTAATTCCCCCAGGTTACACCAATGTTGACAGGGAAGGTCTTAATTTGACAAGCAGACATGTTTCACTGAAATTCTTAAGTGGCCTTAATATGTAGCCCAACAAGCAAACTATTGAAAAAATTAACCGAACAGATGCAGATTTCCCTGGAGGAAATACAACTTCATTTGAGAGGCACTACAGGCAGGTTGCATGGAAAACGCCGTGCTTATCCTAATCAGCGCGACTGTGTGAGCGACGAAGTCGCACCCAGACCCTATATGCCAAAAGGGCCGGCTGCACCCCGGGGTCTCCAAGCCCTGCCTCCATTCTGATAGCTAGCAGGAGCGGTGGGGTTAAAGCACCAGTGAACTCTTGATACCCAGCTCTGATTTGAAGAAACAGAGCTTTTGTTGCCTGCATAGCTCATCAGAAATGTGTTTACCTCTTTCCTGTGGAGGGAATATCGGTAAGTGGAATTAATAGTATGAGGTGACCTTTTGATTTGTTGCCTTTGAGGAGGGAAAAAAAGGAAAGCAAAGCAAGAGGCTGCCCAGTACGCTGAGAAAGCAGCCGAGCTGAAAGCTAAGTGGGGCTCTGAATGGAAACCCACTTGCACAGCTCCAGAGGAAACAAAGTGCCACAAGGCAGAAGCACGGCAGCGTGTGGCAGCACGTACCGCCGGTGTCTGCGTCAGGGTGCGCTGGGATGTCAGAATTCATCACCCATTTTTCCTGGTACAGGAAAGACAATCTTTAGTAAGTTAATATTATGGTGAAATAAGTAAAGTTTAAACAAAATAGAGAAAAGAAGGGAGACATGGGAGAAAAGTGAATAGGAGCAGCTCCCAACGGTTCAGGCAGCCGCAGGGACAGGCAGAACCAGGGCAGCTGCCAGAAACGGGGTAAATGAGCAGCTGTCACACACGGGCGTTAGCAGTGACTCAGTTTCGATGCACGTTCCCTGCTCAGCTTGTTTCTCTCGGCTGCCTCCTAGCACCTCTTTTCATGCCAGCTCTGGCTGCTATTTTGCCAGTACCACCGTTTTTCTCTGGCAAAACTTGGTGGGAAAAAAATTTAGTGGCTTCCTGGCTTGTTAGTTTTTTAATCATCTTGTCTACACTGCTCATATATTCTGTCTCCTGCAAAATGGGAAAACCACAGGCTTGAAGCACTTCCAGATAGCTTGGGTCAAGGGCAAGACGGAGCAAGCACAGGCGATTCCCTCGGCCAGCCGCACAGCACAGCACGTGCTGCCCCGCTTCCCCGGCAGCAGTGACAGGTGCCCCAGGGAAGGGCAAAAAACCTCTGTAATGCAGTAGAGAAACAGCATTGTTTTGTAGGGTTTCAGGTTTTGTAGGGCTTCAGGTAGTGTCCTATGATGGGTTCTTTCAGATACATCCCTCTCACTGTGTTACAAGTGATCCAAAGTGAATTTTACTACTTAGCAGCTACAGCCATAGAAATGGGTTGAGTTTCCTTAAACTGGTGCTTCCCACTACCTGTGCCTGGCTTCTTCCCTGATCACGGTGATGTCTGCAGAAGCCACGTACGGTGGTATGTTGTATATAGTCAACTTTGTGATTCAGACATTTTTTTTATTGACAGACACAGTTCCCACTCACTTAGGGTTGCAATAAGAGCTTGTAATGATTTAAAGTCAGCGTAGGCAAATGCATGAAAATATTCCTGCATGAATATTTTCATTTCAGTTAGGTTGCCCCAAGCACCCTGCAGTAGCTCACCTCGCTTTCCAGCAGAGGAGCAGGATTAGACAATCTCCAGAGGTTTCTCCCAACCGCAACGGTTCTGTGATTCTGGGGAAGGTTTGAGAAAACCTGTAATGGCATACTTATGCTTTGATTGCCTTTTTTTCCCTCTCTCTCTTTTGTAGGTAAAAAGGACTCTCAGAAGGAGAAGGAAGCTGGAGAAGGAGACAAAGCAATTGATTAAACAAGAGGAGCTGAAGAGGCTTCACAAAGCACAGGTGAAAACGTAGCTCACAGATGTCCCATTTGTCTCCCAAGAGTGACTAGTGAGGATGGGGGGTACCCAGTGTGGGCTCTGCACCTCCCCTCGCTCCTCACTGTGGCTCACTGCCTTCTGTGTTGAAATCCCCCCCAAAACGTCAGGAGCAGGAAGACGTACGTGGCAGGGCCTTGCAACTCTGTGTGTGACAAATCCACATGTGCCCCAGGAGATCATCACAATTTTGTAAATGTGTATGAAGAACAAGAGGGAATAGTGACTGGCCATAAGAGAAGAATATGCTGAAGAGGGGAAGAGATAGAAAGGAGGAATAATATCAGTCCCTGAGAATGTAAGAAACTCGACTATTACCCCTGTGTACTACAGGAGGGTACGAAAACACAGTGATGGTTTTTGTTCTCTCTCTGCCATAACAGTGAGAGTCAACTGTTTTCTTTACTAATGATGGAAAGTCACTTCACTTTATACAGGCCTTGCTCTTCGGAAAATGCTGGAAAAGCTCTGGACTCTGCTAACGCTTTATTATTTCCAATTACAGTTCAAAGATTTGGGAATGCACTTCTGCACAGCTTGATCTCAGACTGTTCTTTCAGGTGTAAAAATTTTCAGCTTTATCTATTTCACTTACCACACACACATATCTATATGCATATATAGATATATACACATATACATATATATACACAAAACTTAATGTTTTATGTGGCCATTAGCATTTTTTTTGTGTGTGTCTGTACTGTAGCATAGGGCAGAGAAACCTGAGCTAGATTTAATTCAGGTTGTAATGGTAATCAAGATACAGTAGTGGGGAGAGCAGGCTTTTTGAAGGCAGACTTGTCCATCATCTTCTGTTGTATACTATAGTAGGTGGATAGTTTTGGATGGAGCTTCCACTTGCTATTTCTGTACTAATATTAAATCAAAAAAGAAAACTAGTAAGTTGTTTTTCAGATGCGAATCTGAAATATCTTTTTGTAGACATCACTGCTTTTGCAAAATATGTAACTGAAAAGGAGAGAAATTTGGTGTTTGAACCAGACAGTGGATTTTAGAAAATGCTAATATCTAGCCGTTACTATAAAATCCATGACAGAATAAAACCCATGGGAAAGAAGAATAGTATCTTATTTAATCCAAAGTAAGAGCAACTATGTTATAGTTTTTATCTGAGAATTGTAAATTATCTGAAGGTAAAATTAGATGCATACATGCCTTCTCTTATTTTACTGCTTTGTGGAAATAATCAAGTCCAAACTTTTTTGAACCTTTGAAACTTTGAAAGTTTGTTAGGCTGTTCCTGAGGGCTTGGCTGACACAAGCTGAAATGGGAACTGCTGAGCATCTCTCTTTGACAGTTCAACCTTTTAAGGTGTTTCATATCTATTATCTGCATGTCACCTCTGAAAATCTTATGTAAAAGCGGATGGACCAGTGAATGTAAAAGTCCATCCTGAAGTGCCACTGAATTATCACTTCTTAGCTATTAGACAGTTTCCTCCCTGTGTCAAAAACTTGGGAACTATAAAAGCAAAACAAACAACAAAACCCTATGGACAACAAAATAGCTAGCAAAGCTTTCTAGCTGTAAACTTTCAATATTTATATGAGCTTTGTTCATGTAGCATGTCAGAATACATGCCTCTGAACGTGTAAGGTATCGACTTTTTGCACCTTGCGAGACACAGAAACATTATGATCTCTGTTTTACAACAGGAGAGCTAAAGTTCAGAAAAACTGAGGTTCTTTTAGTACCTATGATACTTACCCACATAAAAATGTGGATAGATACGTAGTGGAATTATTAAACTGCGTAAGCGCCTGATATGCTCAATGAGTTTGCAAATCCCATGACTCCTCAGAGACCTTTTCAAGCTGTTTCTCTAACCACTGAGACCATCTTTCGTCTCTGAATTTTTAAGCTATGTCTGTAGCTTTTATATTATTACAATTTTGCAGGCAGTCCAGCGCCAACTAGAAGAATTGGAGGAAAGACAAAGAGCTCTGGAGATTTTTGGTGTCAAACTGGAGAGAGAACTGAGAGGAGAATCAGGTAAATGAAGCCGTGTGTGTGTTTGGTGGTGGTTTTTTTTAACCTTTTTCAAAGCAGAGACGGTTTAATGATTGTCATAGAAATAGAGTTCAGTGCAAAATCTGAAATGAAACAATAACTGGAAGGACAAAAATCATTGTTTACCCTTTTCCTCAAACTCTGTTAGCTCAAGAACCTTTTCACTGAATGCTATGAATTTTCTGTTGGTTATCACAGATTTGGAATTATTTGCCTTGCTATTGAACCTGAATCTACATTTTTCCACCCATTTTTTAAAATCCCACCTTGAGCTTAATTTCTTCTTCTGGAGGAAACCAGTGAGGTTTCCAGGAGCTGTATCTCAGTTACCAAGCCAGCAGCAGCCCGTGCCTAGTAACAGAGTCCATAATGACTTCTCCCAGAGTGTGAAATGCCATTAATACGATTAGAGCCAGTGGCCATGCTATAGCAACAGCAGCATGCAGGCACACAGACCCGAACCACACAGCTTTCCCCGCACCGGGTGGAAGATAACAGGGATGTCATCCTGGCCCTGGTCGGAGGCAAGGTTTTCACTCGCCTGAACCAAGAGTCCCAAGCACCCAGGACTGTGGCCTCCTCCTGCCAGCCCAGCCTTACCAATGCTCCCGAGCGCGCACGGGGTGAAGCTGGGGAGGCCTCCCGCAGTGGGACAGGACATCTAGGCGTTCCTGCCAGGCTCAAAATGGGGATGGGAATGTGAACCATGCGTGTAAGGGACTTCAGAGGGGGCTGTGGTTCTGTGCTGAAAGGACTCTGGGGAGCTGACAGCCTGATCGCAAACATGTCTTTATTTACCTCTGTTATAGAAAGCTGAACCTCGTGCTTTCATGACAGGCAGTTGCACAACACTGAAAACCTAGATATGTTTTGGCACCTGATCTTGTTGTCTTAGCTAGGCAACCCAGCAAAATCTCTACATGCTGGCTTTTTTAATGCCATATTTCTTAGCAGTTATCGCCCCAATTCTAACACTGAACTAATTAGTTCAGCAAGAGAGCATTTGTCCAACCTTTTAATTGACTAATTTCCTATAATTGATAGTGCCAAACTATTTCAAATGTTATTTAAAAGGCTAGGATTTTTTTTTTTCCCTTAATGAAAACATAACCATTTATCAAATGGCACCCACCATACTGCCTATGAGAAAGTCTACTAAAAAGACTTTGAGGATTTGGAGCGTTAGCTTTTTAATTTACTGCTGATTTTTATAAGGGTGGATGTATTTTGGAAATCTCAAAAATAGAGGGACAAGAGGCTTCTAGCTCTTGGGATAGACACTGAATACCAGGATAAATGGCCTAGAGCCACCTCTTGTTTTTGCTGTTTTGACAACCGCATTTCCTAAAGAAGGCTGTCTGCCAACAGATTGATGCTTCTCATTCTCTTCTCATCCTTAGTAATTGGATTGCCTTCATTAAGGTGAAAGTACTATTTTTTTTTCTCCCTGTTGATTGTTTGTGTGTAGGTTGCAAGTTACAAATAGGGCAGATACTGAAACGTAGGATGTTACTGTGTCTCAATAACTCTTCTGGTGCAAAAGCATGAAGCCATAAGTTTCCCAAACAAAATTTGAGTGCTTTGTTGCTTGTAATAACATACATGTAATGATACAGGCATCAGTGAGTTTAATATTCTGTTCAACCTTCTTAAAAATAACGAGCATTATTGTTTAATGAATGACCAGTGTTTATTAGGTTAAGTTGTATTTAAGCAGGTCTGTGCTTATGCAATTCAAATGATTTAATAGGTATTATTAAGGTAATTAGAAAACGATCACAGTTCAGCAATAATATTGAGCTGCAAAGGTTGTGAATAACCAAATTTAGAGACAGGCCTGCAAACACTAGTCTTCAGTGACATTTACGCAACTCTCCTCTAATAATTCTGTAAGCCCAGGATGAATGGCCCCTTTGTTAGGGAGAGTTATTCATTAGCTCCTCAACTGAATTAGACGAGAACATGCGTGGGTGCGAAACAACTGCCATGAAGACTGATGAGCAAAATGAGGCTTTGATAATCTTCTAATTGCAGTGACAACAATTCATGCATTAAAAAAAAAAAAGAAATAACATCAGTCCTATGAATAATTTTTCATGCCCGTTATTCCCTTTATTCTGATTCAAAATACCAAATAATAAATCACTGATGTACCGTCGCTTTGTTTTCCACTGACATTTGTGGAGGCTTATGGAGATCTTCTGCCTACAAGAAAATACAGAAATAAAATCTCAAAACACGTTTTCCACTGAAATTAGCATAACCGATCAGTTGGCTACACAAATCATGAAGAATGATGGTAAAGAAGAAAATCTGTATTGAGAGAACGTTAAGAAATCTCTCCATGTTTTGGAAGGTGAACAAATATCTGCACACGTTCCAGCTAGTTTTTTATTTCATAAGGAGCATATCCAAGGTTTCTCAGAACTTTCAACAGAGTCAAAAGAAATCAGTTGAAAACCTGTAGGAATAAGGAGTATGAGGTTTAGCTCTTATTAAAAAGGCACAAACTGGCTGAGCCCCCTTTACTGTGTGACTGCTTTACAGAGGAACAGCGTAGCATTGCTCTGGAGAACAGAAGGTTGAGGTTTTGAGAACAGTGTTCAGTAAATACTCCTCTGCAGCCTGTCATGCCCTCAGAAGTGATGAAAATAGAAATAGCTACGATGTAATTACAAGAATATCTGACTTTCAAAAGGGATCTAGGTTAAAGGAGACTTGGGTAGACCAGGAAGAAAGTTTTGCTTTAGCAATGCTGTAAGAAAAAGCCGGCATGGATCACAAAACAAACTCACAAATTGTTTTCCCTCTAACCTTTAAAAAGATCTGTCATACTGTGTTACGCAAAAGACTTCAGTGGCTTGTTCTGCTCTTGGAAGGCATAAAGCACTCCATCAGACTTAAATAACTATTAACATTATTATTAACAAACATTTTAAAAGCAAAGGGAAAAAATGCCCCGGGGAACACTTGGGGGGTGTTCTGTGGGATGGAGAAGGAGGAAAAACAAGGGCTATTTTTATTTCAGCTTGCACTGAGGATTTTGCTAAAATGAGTGGCATTTTTGCAAAGTGCATTACTCTCTGCTAACCTCAACCAACCTATGATACACAGGCTTTTATTAGAGATATCGAGACTTTAATGTGTAAAGAGGAAACATTAATTAAAAAAAAAAAAAATTTTTGCCTAATCAAGAAAACAGCAAAAAGGGAATAATAAACCTCTGTGTGTGTGCAGGACATATGCATACCTGCAATTGCAGTGTTTTGTGGTTTTGCTGACAGTAAGAGAGATCAAATTTTGATGATAACTTCTGATGGTGGCATATGAAGACCTAAGGCTCTGAATACTAATGCTGCATCCCTGCACTGGATCTGTGAGAAACCACCGTTGGCATGTCCCAGTGAGAACTGCTCCAGCAGTCACTCTGAGAAGACATTTTTTTATCCCCACTTGCTGACCTGGAAGATCCCACAGGAACACATACATTACTGCCAGGTTTTAATGGAATTGGGCAGAAATCAGACCAAGATTGCTCTGCCCTCTCCTGCTGCTTTATCCTCGCATTTCATGGTAACTTCAGATGAGGGTCAAATCCTGATGAGAAATCAGAGAAGTGCACCCAAGCCAGCATGGCACCTGTCCTTGGCACAAGGGCCCTTGGAATTCCTCCAACGCTGGCAGGAGGCTGTCTGGGATGACAGTGCCTGGTGAAGGCTTGCAAATGGGCCGGTGATCCCAAACACCCAACAATTTCCCTCCTGCTCAGAAAGATTGCTAAACAGCTGCATTGGGCAAGATCATTACTGCCCGAAGGAGATGGGCTTTAAACTGCTGGTCTTGAGTGGAGTCAAATCCTGGCTTGGACATTAAAGTGAGGAACAGCTGAAGCAGTAGAGGCAAGAGGGTAATTCCTGGGGCCAAGAACAAAGCGCATTTCAAAATGACAACAGAAAGGCACCTGAAACACTGCTGAGCTGTCCAGGACTCTGGGTATCTCTCCACTTGGTATACCAGTTTAATGATACTCTTGTAATTGTCATCTCTGGAGCTTGAACCTGAGACCTTTGGGCTTAAATTTCAGCATTCTCAGTCATCTGAAATAAAGGTGCAGTCCTCTTAAAATAGGAGAAATCACATAAGTCTCCATCCACAGAAAATAGCCAGGATGGTTTATGGGGATTTTGTGCTTGGTTATCTAGCAGCATGATGTAAATACTGAGGAGGAGAGAGCTGTGTTCCCCTGCCTGCTGGTGCACCTCCTTTTGCTTTGTCCCAGGTCTGGCTGTCCCTGCCTGCAACGCGCAGCGGCAGCATGGTGGGGTGTGCAGCTACCACGTGCTGAGGCAGAGCATGGGCTGGCTGTTGTTTTTATGCTTTTGAAGGGGTCAGTGTGTCACTTAAATTGTTGTCTCAACCCGGAGTAGTGTAAAATATTTGCTTCCTGCAAGTGATAACTATTTTATGGCAACAGACAGTGGACGGGCAGAGCAGTCGTTGTGGGAGGTGTGTCTGCAGTGCCATTGCTTCTGCTCTAATTCTGCATCGAAGTGTGGTGCGGTGGTGTTTTGTTTTGTGAAGAAAATGAATGGAAAATGTGACGTGATGAGCATGTTAAAAAGGACAGCGAGGAAAATACATACATACGTGCTCTGACTTGCCACTTGAAAACACCCAGGGGTTCTTCATTGCCAAAGATTTTTGTACAGATGGCATTTTAGGAGCAGTAAAGGCCCTCACCTGGTGAAAGAGAAATCCGTCCTCCTCTTCAGCAAGGCAGAGTCAAAGCTGTGAGCTCTTTGGGAGAGAGACCATCTCGTGTCTTGTGTCTGTATGGTGCCTAACAGCGATGCCCTGGCCCGAAGTGTTACAAAACCACCCAGTAATAAGAGATTTGTCCTGTCCCACAGCCTTTCCCATCACTCAAAGCAGATGCAGATTTAGAGGCCAGTTGGCAAATGAATGGAAATGTGTAGAGGATTTCATTGTGCATCTGACGCCCACTGGAAGCAGGGACTTAGCTCATACTTGCCAGCGTGTACATCCTGAAGTCCAATTGTGTTAATGGGATATCCATTTATACCTATAGTTCAGCTGCTGGAGTGCAGTATCAACAGAGAAACTATGTTATCAAAGGCAGAACTGAGAGAAAGAAAAAGTGCCCATTAAAAAAATGAAAGTCTATATGATTATTTGAAAGAAAAAAACTTCTAAAACAAAAGTGTTTTTAAATCTAATGCATCTTTAACTGCAATAAACTACAACATTCAACTAAATGTAGAGAAGAATGTTATACCTGTTACACCCCGACGTTACTGATGTCAGTTACATATAGCAAAAAAGTGTACATTTAAACTCACCTAGGCTTACAAATGAGGACTATTTAAAGTCAACTTAATGGTAAGAGCATTGGAAGGAAAGCTGGTAATGCACACTTAAGTCTCCTATTTTAAACAGATTCAGGCACAAAGGATGAAACTCAGATGCTACATGAATGGTTTGAGCTGGTCCTGGAGAAGAATAAATTAATGCGTTATGAGTCTGAGCTCCTGATTATGTAAGTAAGGACAAGCATTAGTACTAAAGATGGGGAGGGGAGAGAGGGAAAGTATACTCACAATACACCTGAACACCCTGCTGCGTGCTGCAGTTTGAGACTGTAGTGGAATAAATGTACCCAGAGTAGCTACAATCTGTTTTGAACACAGATTTTCACTTGAGCCCTCCTTGACCTTCCCTCTCACAATGGTTCAATTATTTCCATCCTACACGATAGCCTAAACCAGTATAGCATATATAGCTTAAATTTCAGCACTCTCAGTCATCTGAAATAAAGGTGCATATAGATGCTCTGCCTTTACATAATGTGGGTCTAATGAACACTGGGGCACTTTCTCCTGTGGAAGAAAAATAGTTTGACAAGTTTATCTCAGTTCTTATTGGACATAGGAGAAAAGATCTAGGAGTTCACTACAGCTACGAAACAAGCAGATACACCAATCAAATAAAAACCATCTCAGATGCCACTGTCTGTGGTTGATGGAAACAATATTGGTTGTAGCTCCCTCGCCTCCTTGGAAATGCACTCAACAGATAGGCAGAGGTGACTCTCAGCTATTTTCTCCACTATTTCTGGGCAATGTGGGAAGGCGATGAGAGCTGCAGCAGTCATTACTCACCCCTGGATTTCACACCAGTGCAGGCTGCTCATTGCCGTTTATCATTTCCATATCACTCAGCCCCCCACGCTGTGTGCAGAGCTGCAGCCCAGCAACCAGCTCCAGCTGCACCCCAGTTTCTCCCCAGCTGTGCTGATACTGCTGGGGGCCAAACCTTTTCTTTCCGCTTCGATTGTCATTGGGTATTGTGGCAGCAATGCTTCCTGCTCACACTGTCTGCAAAGCAGAGTTAAAAAAGCAAAAGCAGGCTGCTTTTATCACTGCAGGACACAAAACGTTGTTGTCTGGACGTGTTCACATGTGTTCATTCCCTTGCCTCGGGACCCGTCCCTGTGCAGAGTGCCTGGCAGGGCCCTTCGCGTGTGGGAGCGTTCAGTCCTATCCAGAATTACATTGTGGGTGCCACCAACAAAGCACAGCTGGTTATAGCCTTAAGTGTTGCAGTCTATGAGGGAGCTTAATCTGATACATAATGCAAAAGGTGGTAGTGGTACTTCTGGCGTTGCTGTGGCAATGTAGGCGCAGGCAAACCTTTTAGCCTTGACTGCCCATGAGGAGAAAATACTGGATAAACAGAATGCAGAATCTCTTGGTTGAAATAATATTAACATATATGTCTTCATTGAAAAAAGCTCATTCTTTAATGTACTTTTTATTGTACCTAGAGCCCAAGAACTAGAATTGGAGGACCATCAAAGCAGGTTGGAACAAAAGCTGAGAGAGAAAATGGCCATTGATGGTAAGTCAAAGGGGAGAGTATGTTCCAGCCCACAGCGATAGACCATGCCTGTATGCATCCCGGTTTGCTCCAAAAAAGGACCAGAGTGGCTGAGGCTTTTCCTCCTGTGCTCTTCTACGAGTGCAGTTCAGCCAGCAAAATGCAACTTGTGAGATCTTCTCATCTGACTTCTAGTGAAAACAGCTAAGCTAACCTGTCCAGGTTTACATTGAACTGGATCAGAAGCACTCGCACGTGTAATTCCACTAATTGTGCTGTGCAGGCAGCAACATCCAGCTAACACGCGATGATGGGCAGCAACGGAAAGTAATTTCTTCAACCACCTAAACACAAAAAAGGTTATCTGCTTTTATGTTAACTGTAGCATCACTGGTTACAACAGTATTTTGGAACTGCTTTTAGGTACTTGAGATTACAGTTTGGGCTTGTCCTTTCATTTAGTATTAGAAAAGAGAGCATGGGGATATATAGAAAAGAGAATGCAGGGAGAAGGGGGGCTACAGAGCCCTGAATACCCCAAAATATCCTGTTGTGTTCTAAGCATGTGGATTGTAAGTGATGGCAGTTTTCAATACATTTTCTGAAAAACACTTTCCATTTTCTTACAGATACTACTTTTTATGGTTGGGCTTCTTACCTTATAAGCTAAATTTGAACTCCAGCTTAAATGTTTTTATAAACAAGTAGTGGTCTTCTTACCCTTTCCAGTCTAAGTTTTGCTAAAAGATCCACTCTAAACATTAGAAGCCTTAATGGTCAACCTTAAATGGCAGGAGAAATTTTTCCTGAACTGTAACATGAAAAATATTGACTGCTATTGACTTCATTTGTCACTGACTGTAATAGTAATTGAAGCTGTACACCAACAGTTAAAATGCAAAGTGTAACAACAGAGTGATCTGGATTTTGACCTCTTATTTTGTGATCCTTTAGACAGCCTTAAAGATGAGATGGATCTGAATGAGGAGGATGAAATTTTTACTGAGATGATGAAAGTGGTTGAAGAAAGGGACAAACTTGTGTCTACCTTAGAGGAGCAGAGAGTGAAAGAAAAAGCAGAAGACCAGCACTTTGAAAGCGTTATATTATCTAGAGGCTATCAGCTGAGCAGGATTTAAACAGCCACATGCAAATAATCATGATTTCAGGAATATTTGTAATCATGGAGATACAGTCTTCTGAAAAATGAAGGAATTCAAATTTAAAATCACTTTATTTGGGAAACATGTCATTGTGTTATCAAAAGCTCTTAAGCAGTTCTTTTGCTCATACCAGTGTGAGGCATTCTACTATCAGCTTAAAGGATCACCGGAATACAAAATAGGACTGAATTTACCTGTCTGATGGGGATCAGGGTCTGTGAAAGGGAAGTCAGAGCTCTGTTGTTTTCTTGGAATTTTATTTTAATGCTGAGAATAGAGTTTCTGAGAAACATGATGACATCATTTAGTATTTTTGAGATGGCATTATTTTCCATCTGTTTGTCTGAATCTGTATGTGGTTTTGTTAATAATTTGGCACAGCCAAGCCATGCTGAACTATTTAAAGGTCAGAAAGCAAGCTTTTCATATAAAAATAAGGTTAGTTTTTATTTCTGGTGGAGGAAGGGTCGTTTGACTAATAACTGCATATAAGCACTCATTAAAACTATTGTGAATGCAATGTCAGAAATTAATTTTCCAGGTATTTTTAAGTTTTAGTGCACCATGTATTTTTGAACAAGAAGTTAAAGCAATATTAAATCCCTACACTTCATAAAATGGTAAGGGATTATCAAAGGGGTGACTCCCCTTAAAACTGTACGTGCTCAAAAAAGCTTTTGTATGTCCCAGCTTAAGGTCTTTAAAATATACTAAATGATGATTTAAAAATAGTAATCCAGACCCAGTTAGTATTTATAGGGTAGGGTTTACAATTGCTTGATAAAATACATCACAAATAGTATCACAGGGTGTGATGAGTGGTGTAGCAGTTAAAGATCTCCCTGAGAATAATTCCTCAAAAGGACTGCAAAAAACGTTGAGTTTGTAATGTCAACATTTGATAGAAAACATTGGGGGTATATTTAAGCTACATTTATCTTGCTGCTTAAGAATATGTGCATATTTTTGCTTAAAGGAACTATGTGCTATCTTTTTTTTTGTACATGCATTTGTAGATATTGGCAAAGCAGATGTGCAGAAATTCTCCTTAGTATTTGGTGTAATTTAGGTACTTACTTAAATCTGAGATAATTCTGCAATTTAAGATTGGTAGTATCCCCAACTGTATGTATGATGCACTAGATTTTCAAACTGAAAAAAAAAAAAAGAGAAACTGAAAGACTGTTTCTTTTTGAATATCATTTTACCTCATGCTCTGAGAAGATTTGATGTTCTCGTTATTTCATGAATGGTGCTAATTTGCAGCAGTTGCCTATGGTACAGCCAAAGCTAGAAGCATTCCTGTTACAAAAGCTTTAAACTAAAAAAACTCTTGGTAAGTACTTGTAGGGTAACAGACACACTGGGTTCTGTCACAATAATTTATTAATTAAGTTTTTGCTGTATTGCAAGAAATTTAAAATACCCTTTCTAAAGATAAAAGCAAGATTTTACTATTGACCACAGATAAATAATATACCTCTGTTGGTGCAAGGAATATACTATTGTTCTGCAATATTTATGTATTTATATTTATTTATCAGACTGTTTAAAGAGGATAAGAGTGTCTGGTTACATTTTACAGTTTGGATGTTGTCTCTGCTTTTGATTGATAAATGTGTATTTCTAACAGCTATGTATAGGTAAAGCTGTGCATTGTAGAGTAGATAGCTTTATTGATTTGGTCAATAATTAGTAATAAAATATGAGTTAAGATTTTTGAACAATGTTCTCAGTTACCATATCTTGAAGGGATACCCTTAAAACATAGCATGTAGGGCTTTAACAATATAATTTGTCTTTCATGGCAGTGGAAAGACATAGCAGAATTCTTGAATATGTTCCAAAATTACCGTCAGACTTTTCTTTTTCCTGTCATTCATAGGCTAAGCATACCTGATCTTCAGATTACATTTTTATTGAGGTGGATTGCAGCGATTGATTTTTAAACTAACTCTATTACTTAAGATTGACACAAAGTAAGAGCAGGCAGGGCAGCAATAAATATTTTAATTTTCTCTGTTGAGATCTACTGGTATTTCCAGTTTTGTGGAGAAAATTTCTAGATTTTATCACTGTTCCCAGAAGCCTTGTGTAATCCCATAGAACAAGACTGTCTAGAACATCTATCACAGTTTTCTGTAGAAAACAGAGTCTCATAATGCTTCCAAGGTATTTTTAAAAAGTTTTAAAGCGGACCTCTTAGTGCTTTGCACACGAGGGGAATTCAGCAGAAGCTTCCAGTTATATCAGTCAAAGATTGTTTTTTTCACCTCACTTTTACAATCTAAAAAGTCCAGTCACCTTCATGTTGCTGCCGTACAAAGAGGAAGAGGAAGGGCAGCCTCAGAGAATTGTGATGCCCCTAGTCCTGAGGAGGAGATTGCTCTCTTCTACCAAAGCCCAGCCTGCTTGCCCAGGGGAGATGCACACACTGCAATTGGTCAGGTTCAAGTTGCTCTGAATTGTATATAAGCCCTGAGATTTCAGTTTACAGCAGATACCGGTTTGGCTATAAAACCAAATGTGAAAGGGTGCTTTCCTTTTAGCTCCAAAGATTTGAGTTCATGAGAGTATTAGAGTCAACAGAAGCTGAGGGACATCAGCATTTTATGGATCTCAAAAATATTCTTTGCTAAAAGATACTTTTCTGGATGCCATGTGGTCATAATGCATGCTGCACCCAAAACTGTGTGTCTGCTCTTGGGTGGAAAAACCTGTCAGGCTACTGCTACCCTGCCTGATATTAAGTACCTCACAAGATTAGATCAAAAAATGGACTGTGCAAGTGATTTAGAAAAATAATAAACGCTTAAATCATTTAAAGCAGGTCTTCATATATCATGAGTAGAGAAGGAGGGGAAAAAAGAGAAGCTATGTGCACTGTTCACAGGTCAATTTAATATGGGTGCCTGTATTAGAAATGTATTTAAACATTGGTTTCGTTATAAGTTATCTTGTTGCTCAGTTTTTTCTGTAAATTGATTCACTACCTTATAATAGATTTGCTCATTTTTAAGTCCTTGGCGCTGTCATTTTTGAGTATGATGTGATGTGCTGGAATGTATTGACTATGTCTAAATGGACTACATGCGAGCAATTTTCTATTTGAAAAAATAAAATTATATCTCACTCTCTGAAGTCCCTGAATCATTTCCGTAGCCATTTCTCTCCACCAATATCTACAATGTAATAATGTATGTCTAGGAGAGATCTATAGGTAAGAAATTATATCAGTTTCTTAATAAATATGCTGGTAAGTAAATCACACTGTCTTGGAGTTCACAGATTCATTTTATAGTTTAGGAATAATGACGCCCTGAAGTCAGAGGGCATTTGACTCTACCTTTAACACAAGAGGTTGCAAACTCCATGAGATCAACAACTTCCTCACATTCCAACATAGGAATTAACCACCTAATTTCCTTAGGCATGACATACAAATTGTAACAGCTCCTTGAAGACTTGAAGGAAAAGTGTCACTGCATGGATCACTAAGAATTGGTGATCAAAACCTTAATTGCCTTAATTTTCAAATTCCACTAATTTTACCTCTGTCAGGTCATCTTGATTTGTGGCTTTCTCCCAGTGGGAGAGCCTTACAGAGCAAGACAATGTGCTGCTCAAGATGAGAGAAGTGGATAAGCAAGATTTGGGCTTATATTAGTACCTGCACCATTGTGCACCATTTTCCTGTGCTCAGTGACTCTGAACTGAGTGACAGTTCTCTCCTCTTCAGAGGACAGATCGACAGCTGCTTTTCTTCAGAGGTCAAGGTAATTTTTGGCATATTTGAATGTGAGCTTTTTCTTCTACTGTTATGTCCTTTCCCTTCCATCCTGCGTGCCTCAGAGGCAGATGGGCATGGTGGTGAATCCTCTGATAATACCACATGTAAGTTCTCAGGACTGCACAGGAACTACCTGCCTGCTGGGTTTATTGGAAGTAATATGTCAAACTTTTTTCCATGTTCAAAACATTGCAGCCACGTTGACTTCTCAGCCAGCTGGTCAACAGCTGGAAGACTTGGCTGGCCCAGGAGGAGGATGTGGGTAGAAATGCCACCATAGGAATTTACTGAGGCGCCCCAAAAGATGTCTTCAAAAGATCATAGGTCTAAAGAAAATCAATTGGACAAGAAGTTCAGGAAAAGGATTTTGTAAGTCATTATTTGACTCAAGATCAATCCTTTTGCCCCCAAGGTCTTTACCTCACTGATTTTTAGGGTATTTGGCCAGGTTTCTCTGGGCACAGGCAAGAAACTTAGAGGTCTTGTGCTTTGAAACCTCTGCCTTTTAGCCCAATGCATCTCTGATTTCAGCTAAGAATTTCACTTTAGTATAGTAGTCTCTTTCCAGAAAGATATACTCTGTTTTCTTTCTTGCTTGAGCAAGTAACAGGATGTGGCTTAGCAGATTGGAGATTCTGTACATCTTTTAAGACTTTGCTACTGTTAAGATCTAAAGCTGTCCCTGCTGGGTTTTGCATGGACCTTACAGTTTTTGCATAGTTTATCATGATGGGTTTGCCATGTTAGCATGCAAATACTACTGCTGCAGTCTTCATGGCAGCCAGATCTCATGAACCTAGATCCTGGCAAATACTTCATCATGAGTAGGGTATTGCTGGATTTCACATAAATCTCTTTGCCTAATATTTATGAACAAATTGTGGTGTCTTCTGTTGGTTCTAATGAACTACAAAAAGAGACCTGGTGGCCCGGTGTGCCAGCAATGTGCTTGCTGGAATATTCATGTAACACAGATCTGCAAAATCACAGGCACAAGTGAAGCTTAGTAAGAAAAATCGTACTGATTTTTTTTCTAAAACTATCTCAAGAAGGCCAGATGTAAATGCAAGTAAACTTGGCCAGGTATTTATAAATGATTAATGGAACGACATGTTATCAGAAGCATTAAAAACCAGGATGATGTTCTCATCTTACTGAAAAGTTTAAAACCCACTTTCTTTCCTTT